CTCTCTCTCTCTCTCTCTCTCTCTCTCTCTCTCTCACACACACACACACACACACACACACACACACACACACACACACACACACACACAAGCTCTACGCGAGCACGAAAAGTGAGTATGGGTTGAGCTTGCCCTCGCTAGGTTATGGCGGTGAACCCAGATTGACAGGGCACGCCGAGCCACTTTCAGCACTACTGTTACAGTACTGATCCCATGGGCTACGTCGCCCCACACTGAATCGGAAACGGCACCCCGATAGTTAAAGATACCACTGCAACCACCAGTACAGGCTCACGGTACTCTCCCGCAATCCCGTTTCGGCCTGATGGATGACCTGCCTTTTGCCGCCATGTCCTCCTGTACATGAAAACGACGAACGACAGTTCACAAACTGGAATGAGCCCCTTCCATTCGTTGATCCCTCTCTATTACCCTCCAGTCTAACCCACTTACCCGCGGACAATCGACGACAGTGCACAAACGACGAACTCAAGGACGAGCAGACTACCAACGAACGACAACTCCCGAAAAACAAAAATCACAAACGATGGGAGGATGGGGAGGTGAATTGGCGGCAAGGCAGACCGATTGCACCGAAGAAAAGGGGGAAAAAAAAAGAAAAATGGGTGGCGGGAATGAGGAGAGAGAGGGCTGGAGGACGGTAGTGCCATGTGGGGTTGGGGAGAAGAGCTGGAGGATGGTGTGCCGCGTGGAGGAGGGAGGACGTCTTGAGTATCAAGTCCTGGGATGATGGTAGTGCCACGTGGAGGACAAGGGAGAGATGGAGGCGGGAATACGGAGGGAGAAGGGATAGAGGATGGTAGTACCACGTGGAGGACGGGGGAGTGATGGAGGATGGGGGCGGCACATGGACGAGGGAGGACGTCTTGAGGGTCAAGTCCTGGGAGGATGGTAGTGTCCCCGAAGGAGGGAGGGGGAGGCTAGCAATGACGACAGATGGCAGTTGGAGGAGGAATGTCGACGGGAGGGCGACTGAGTCAAAAAAAAAAAAAAAAAAAAGACAAAAAAAACGAGGAATGACGGGAACGGGACGGAGGGAAGAGGACAACTACGACGAAGGAGGGAGGACGAGGACGAGGACAAGGACGAAGAGAACAATGACGAAGTAAGGAGGAGGAGAAGGAGAACGACATCGAACAAGGGAAGCGAACGAGGAGGAGAATGATGTCTGAGGGAGGGGAACGATGATGAAGTTGGGAGGAGGAGGAGATCGACGACGGAGGGAGGAGGAGGGAGATGACGACGTAAGGGCATTCACGAACTCCCTTCGGTCGTTATCGGCCTCCTCCTCCTCCCTCCTTCATCGTCGATCTCCTCCTCCCTCCTTCACCGTCGATCTCCTCCTCCTCGTCCCAACTTGGTAGTGCCACATGGAGGAGGGGTAAATGACGGAGGATGGTAGTGCCACATGGAGGAGGGAGGAGTGATAAAGGATGGTGGTGCCACGTTGAGGAGGGTGGACGTCTTCATGGTCAAGTCTTGGGAGGACGGTAGTGCCACGTGGAGGGGGCGGAGGACTACAATGTTGAAGGAGGGAGGGGAAGGACAACAATGACGTCAGGTGGCAGTGGGCGGAATGTCGACGGGCGGGCGGCTGCAGTCACAAAAGAATAAAAGACCAAAAAACGAGGAATGACGGGAACGCTATAAAGGGAGGAGGACGACTATGACGAGGGAGGAGCAGGAGGATGAGAACGAAGGAAGAGGTAGGAGAACAATGACGAAGTAGGGAGGAGGAGAAGAACGACGACGAACGAGGGGAGAGAACTAGGAGAATGATGATTGAGGGAGGAGGAGAAATGATGAAGTTGGGAGGAAGGAGGAGATCGACGAGGAAGGAGGGAGGAAGAGGACGAGGGGGCCGATGAGGATGGAAGGGAGTTCACGGAGGAGGGGGCCGATGACGACGGAAGGGAGTTCACGAACTCCCTTCCATCGTCATCATCCCCCTCCTCCTCCTCTTCCCTCCTTCGTCGTCGATCTCCTCCTCCTCCTCCCAACTTCATCATCGTTCTCCTGTCCTAGTAACGAAAAAAAAAAAGGAACAATAAAATAGCGGAACGAGGAGGAAGCACTCCGACAGAAAGTTGGAGAAAACGGGCCGGAGGAAAGATGTCGGAGAACGACGACGAAGGAGGGTAACGACAACGAGGGAGGAGTAGAACGACGACAAAGGAGGAGGACGATGACGAACTGGGGAGGAGGAGGAGGAGGACAATGACGACGGAGGAACTGAGGAGAAGGGAGGGGAGGAGAACAATAACGAGGGAGGGAGGAGGAGGAGGAGAACGAAGATGAAGGAGAGAGTAGGAGGAGGATAGCGATGGCGAAGGTGGGAGGATGAGGACGAGAACGATGGCGGGGGAGGGATGAGGAGGAGGAGAACCTTGGCGAGGAGGAAGCAGGATGAGGGGAACGATGACGAGGGAGGAACGGAGCAGGGGAGGGAGACAGAGAGAGAGAGAGTAAGTGAGAGACAGAAAGAGACGGCGGCAGCTGTCACCCACCCACCCACCTCAGGTCCGGAGGCGCTCGCCCTGCTGCCTCCAGCCGCTCCTGCTGCCTGCCTCAGCAGCTGCTGCCTCTGGCTATCCCCGCTCAATGTCGCTGCCTGTCGCCCAAACTCTACGACGGCAGCGACTTGAAGAAGACGGCGGGTGCGAAGATGGCGCCGACGGTCGACGGGAGATGCCTTTTGCGGCGGCGCGCAGTGGCCTGAGGGCCTCGTCGCACTACTCGCCATCCGCCAACATTTTGATTGCATGTGGACACCATGTTGTCCAGATGCATTCGAAATCTTGGCCGATGGCGAGTAGTGCAACTAGGGCCTGAAGGTCGGCGAGCGCCATCTACCGAGGCCGGCGGGGAGCGTTCAACTTCGAATTCGAAGTTGGAGGAGATTCGGGCCTTAGCGCGGGAAAAAAAAATCGCGACCTTTTTTTTTGTTTTTGTTTTTTTCGGATTCGAACTCGGGGGCTAGGTCCCACTTACTCGAATTAAGAGATACTGACCGTAGATAGCAAAGATCAACGGCCGAAATCTCCTAATCCGTGCAAGTGGGACCTTGCCGCGTGTCTATTCCTTTTTTTCTTTTTTTTTTCGCGCGACCTTTTTCCTCGTCCTCTGCAGCTCTTCAGTCCCCCCAGGTGAATCTGGCCGTGGGATTGCCGTCAGACAATCCACGAGAGGCCTACCTGCCAGCAGCCTCCAGCGATGGCGCCTCAGGCCCTCGCTCCACTGCACAACACTGTACATGCAATTTTGGAAGCTTTCTCGACCGGAAACATTCCCAACGTTGGAATCGTCCGAATGCACCTGGTCTTATGAGCATCCAAATGCATGTACAGTGTTGCGTAGTGGAGCGAGGCTGACAGTTTTTCCCGCCACGAGAACCATTCACGACACAGACACGGCAGTAGCGTACTCCTTACGCGCGTTGCCAACTTGTCGCCCAGAACGAGCCGAGTCCACCTCAGAGAACAGGACGAGACATGGCCGTTTTGCCAGCTTGTCACCCAGAACCGGCCGAGCCCCACCTGAGGCAGACGCTCTATTACTGGGTCTCGCTCCACTGCCGTCCTCCGCTTTAC